GTTGCCTGGTAGGGCCGATAGTAATACACTGTGTGGGACGGAGTAAGGGCCCTTCTCACCTCCTACGAGTCGTCCGGCTCCCATTTCGCCCGCCGCTACTACGGGAATCGCTTTTGCTATCTTTTCCTCTCATTATATATCAATCTTTTGCTCTGGCTGCTATTGACTTGACTACATTGTCTCACTGAGCAGTGTTTTCTCATGGAGGAAAGAAAGATGAATTCTGATGCTGTCTCACATAAACTCCTCAATAGTTCCACCCCTCCCTAGGAAATATGGTCCGAAGAATCTCGATAGTAGTTCCATGAACAATCCTTTGCGGGATTGGATTTTTTTTATAGTGGAAATGCCAGCAAATTAGTAAGTCCATCAATCTGTAGTGGAATAGTCTCACCAGCCCGTAGATGGTTTGGCGGAAAGGGGAAAAGCACAAAATCTTTCTTCCTGGTTGGTGTACTAGGGCGAGGCGAATCCCAACCCTTTCGTTAGCTAGCTTAGCTTTCCCTCTTTTCAATCTATATCAGATCCTCCCCTGAATAAGTAAGGCCCCGTTAAGCCTGGGCGAAGATGGGGATAAAGAGTAAGGATTGAAGCCCCCTTAGCTCTGCCAGGCACTGGACAGGGGTTAGCTCTGTAAATGTGTAGAGCCAAGTGTAGTGTGGTGTAGTAGTAGGCACAACATCCTTATGCACCCATTTCACATCTTAGGCCTAGCTGGTGTAAAAGGCGGCTCCCTATTCAGTGCTATGCATGCTTCCTTGGTAACTTCTAGTTTGATCAGGAGCCGATGACTACTATGATTTATGGGTTTTTGACGAATTCCATAACCACGAGCGAGAAAGTGGCATGGGAGAAACCATATATTCGGAATCCGGCAAACAAAGCAAAAACAACGGCTCCTACATAAATAGAATAGAATAGAAATGCTGTCACTAGAACGGACCACACAAATAACATCTTTCTAGCCGCCTAAAGGAAGTATTCAAAGGCTCCGCACCTGAGCTTGCCCGGAAGGGCCCGGAAGAGGAAGTGATCCCCCGACACTAAAAATAAAAATCCTGCTTGTCCCCCATACCCCTTTCAGCAAGGGTTGCCGTGGTCTCCAAGAATCTTCTTCCGAAGCGGGCCCTACCACGTATACAGTCTGCGGAACCACGCCTAGCTGCGGTGTCAAGCTCATATCCTCTGCCTCTTTCTTGAAAAGAAACTATGCCTGATAAGGCGAATAAAGACTCATCTTCTTTCATATCATATGTGTCAGAAGCATCAAATGATGTTTTATGAGGTGGGGGAATCCTAATCCAATGCCCTAAGCTCGCGGTGACAGAATGCTGTTATGTCCCTGGAGAGTGCTCCCCCAGGAGTTATGTGCCCGGAGTTCTGTCCCTGGCCCTTTCACCTTCCACGGAACCAGAAGCATGAAAGATGGGATCTAGCATTTTAGAAGAAAGTCTTTCTCTTTATTGATGTCGAACTTCATCTGCCTTATAGCGATGAAAAGATATTCCCTTAGTCTTTGCCCAGCTCTTCTTCCAGGGAAACAGTCTTTGATAGCGCTCTTGCCCGACTTTTCGTGATTTGTGGCCTTAAGAGAATCAGGAGATATTTAATAGTTTGGGTCGAGCATCTAATCTTATTAAGAGTTGTCCTTTCAGACCCTATTCTCCGAATGGACAAAGAGCAGGAAGTAAAGCACCCGCCTCTAGGAGGGAAGGGGTTAGAGTGTGCCTGATTCATATGCAGTTTCCTCTCTGAAAGATGCCCAATCAAGAAGGATGTGCCACCATGCCCGATGGGCAAGAAGCTAGGGCAGTTAAGGAGGGTTATATTGGGTGATCGTATCCGAACTTGAAAGACTTTCCGCGGAATCAGAATCAGATTGGATTGAAGGTAAGGACGGCGAAGCTGGAATTCTATGGTTTTCTGCTTTTGCGGTTAATTTCTTTTCTGTTTCTGCTGTCTTCCTTTCCATTTTCTTCGTTCTGTGTAGCCTCTTTCGCCGAGATGCCTTTTAAAAAGATTTTTTCCCGCATCGGAACAAGACCGGTCGGGGTAACTAAAAAGAAATCCATGACCGAGTTACGAGAGCTATAACGTGGGTCTATGCCCCTTAAGCCTCAAGGCTCGCGTTCTACGGGGAACTTTTTTGACTATTTACCTTCGCCGGAAGCAAAGGGCGAAAACTCCAAAACTAGTAAGGGTGCTTGTGTTGTGGTTTTGAGTTCCTTGGCTTGTGTTCTAATAGTAACCACAGGAAGAAAGCGGGGAGCATGGTCCCTAGTCTCGTTTTTGCCGAGCCTGATTCTCTATGGCATGGACTTGATTGGATGGAGACAGATATATAGAAAGTGTGCAGTGAGGGTGCTTGTAAATCACTAGGTAGCCTAGCTCGACCCAAGCAATGCCCAAAAGTCCCATGCCTTTCTTGGTCGGACCAACCCAACCGGCGATTTCCGACAAGTCTTTCTGAATTGGAAGAGCAAGAAGCGGAACTAGAAGAAAACTTTCTTTCTCTTTATGGATAACCAATTCATTTCCATTTCAAGAAGAAATCAATGAAGGATCAACTATAGAAAAGTCACAACACAGGCTACATTCTATTATAACAGGAAATAGACCTAAAATAATGTCAAACAATAACACTTTTGATAATTTAATGGAGTAAAAAGAAGAGGTACTTCAACAATTAGAAGAAATTAGTAAAGGATAAAAGAGGAAAATCAGAAGTATGATGATGATATCCAAGAAATTATCCACCCATGGAACTTCACAACAACTTATATACATCATTAAACCGGAAAGAATCCAACTGAGAAATGCGGAAAAAAAAGGGGAACACTTGCAAGTTACAGCCATGGCTATAGCTCAAGCGACCATGGCAGACTCGGCCGGAGGCAGGAAGTGCTGGCTGGAGCAGATGGTACAGTGCTCTGGATGGTGATGATTGGCAGAGACGATCACTTTTCGAACCAATAGCAAATTTTAGTGCCAACCAGTAGCAAATTTTAGTTTATTCCATTTTCATGTTAATTTATCTCTTGTTTCCTGTTGCTCTAACGTAAATCTTCCACAATAATGAAAGTGAATTTTTGACATCCTACTCAAGTGAGAGGTGAAATCAATGAAGACATAATCAATACAAGGGTATTCAAACCCCATTGAATAACTCATGGATAAGAAATACAACATCAATGTCAAATTAAATATGGTGTAGAGCAGTCAATTTCACCATAACTCCAACAAAATATTAAACCCACAATAGGTACAACTTAATGGAAAAAAAC